CTGAAACATTGCCATAAAAATCACAAAAAAAATGGTCATGATTCAGTCAATGCTGAAAATGCAATGACATATCAACCAAATCATTGTTTTCCTTAGTATTACAAATTGTTTTCCATTTGGTGCAACCATGAAGCACGAACCTGATGACATCAGTGGGAGAACTTCTGCGTTTCTGTTCATGTTCTGGGATAGTGTGCCACGTGAACACCAATCTCCAATCAAATCCTCCAATCTGAGGTTCTCCAGCGTTGCCCAGGAACTGGAAGGTGTTCCAGTCAATAACATCAATCACTGGACACACCACAGCCGAAGGCTCGTCCTTTATTCTACAGGTTTTTAGAGATTTTTAAAAAGGGGAGATAAATATTCATTTCTCACAAAACAAACAGTGATGTAGAATGTAGTTTAGGCGTGACCAGAAAAAAAGCATGCACATTTTGTAATGCAAAAACAGAGCAAATTTATATACATATTTAATGAAACAATGCATGTTTGAGGTTTGTAGAGAGGAGTTTATCAGTCTCACCTCTGGAGTAAAGGCTCCAACCAGCCTTCATGGCACTCACAGTGGCAATCGAGGAAGGTCAGTACTTCTCCTGTGGCAATGGACGCCCCCAGGAGCCGCGCTCGCACCAAACCCTCTCTCTTCCTTGCTCGGATCAGACGCACCTTTTTGAGATTGGCGATGTAGTTCTCTAGAGGCTCCTTTAAATGATCTGTGGGTCAAATTCATGAGAACTGCTCAGTAACAGCTGCAGACCTAGAGGGTACAAGAACTTAGGACAGAAATAAAGTATGCTAATTGGCTTTTGTATAAAGGAGCAACTTGCTGTTTCACCACAGGGTGGAGCTGAGACTGTTATTGCTGTGGTATTTCATTGATAAGAATCTGTTTTTCAAACTTAGATTTTTGTGATCAGGGATGTGTGTGTCCTCTTTGTGCTGTGCCTGAACCTAACTTAACTAATAACTTAAATAAGTAAATATGTACACTATTCTATTAATTCTATCCAGTTATCGTTTTACTCAAGATTTTTTCTTGTTTTTGTTCTTTGTTTATGTTTAAAGTTAAAGAGGGAACATGAAAGACAGTATGAATTGGGTAAGACTTCATTTGTATTTATTATTTAAAGAATATATATATATATATATATATATATATATATATCTTTTAAATCAGTGTCTGATTTACACACACATGTAAAAAGAGCACATTTTGTCCATTGTTTCCCTGATATAAACAGTAAAGTAATGGTTAAAAAAGAATCTATTTGCATCTGTTTGTCATTGTTTAGTTAGAAATTAGCAAACATTTGACTAAGGAAACATACAACAGTATAGTACTTTTACATTTTTCTGAAGAAAATGGGAGTGGTGTCTGCACATGCAAAACTTTCTGGTAGCAATGTTAGCTATGGTTATGGTAGCTGTATAGCTGTTTGCTAATGTGGTTGTTAGTTTTGTGGGTGGTTCCTAGGTGTCCCAAATCAAAAATGCACCAAACTCAACCTAATATGATTTAGTTTTTAAACATTTGATCTTTTTTCCCCTTACTTTTTCCCCTTAATTTTCTCTACATAAACAGAATGTATCATACAATTACAGATACAATTGATAGATAATATTAGCTGTACCTTTAATATGTTACTACATATGATCTTATGATTAGCGTGTGCTCAAAGGAAGCATGAGAAGTTTTCATTCAGACTGATACCTCGGTCACTGTAGTCATCCACCAGTATGATTTCAGTCAGCAGCAGGTCTGGTGAGGTCTCCAGGACACTGTGCACTGTCCTCAGTAGTGTGGACCAGGCTTCATTGTAGAAGGCTATCACTACTGATGTTGAGGGCAGGCTCAGGTAGTCATATTTCAGGTTTCTACATCTGAATAGACAGATCTTGTTAGATAATGCCTTGCTTGCTACAATGTCAGACCGCAATCTTGTTTACAGTGTCATTATACTAAGATAAAATATCACATAAAATAAATAAAAGAAAATATTAATTGCAATCTAAAAATACATAACTAAAATAAACGGGTCATTTTAAAATAACATGATAACAAAATAACAAACATGATGCAAACAATAAATACAAAAAAAAACAGTTTAGTAATATTTGGCTTGTTATTTTATTTTATTTATTTATTACCTATCAGAGTAAAACCAACTGCAAATATAATTATAACAATGCATACCCTTTAGATTTGGAATGGGCGATCGGTTTATAGTTTGACTTATAGTAGTAATTTTTTATTCAATGTGTCCATAAAGGGGTCTGACTGCAATGGATTTTATTCATTATTTTAAAAATTCAGCATTTTTGTGAGATAACCAATAAAAAGTTTTAGATTTTTTTTTAATGTACAAAATTTATTTGAGTTATGACCAACTGTGACAGCGCCACATTGAACGTTTTTCTCCTGCTTTGTTACTTTGTAGACGGTCCCTATCTGTAATCGCATATTAGACATTGGGGGGGACTGTTTACAAAAACATTTACAACTTTTATGGTTTGCAATAAATCGGGAAGGATTAAAACTAATAAACTACGATGTGTAGGCTTACCTACCTGTCTACATTCTGATGTTATACAAATAAACCCATTAATACCATTAGATCAAACATTTAATTATCTTTTAAGGTTGGATATCTCACAAATATCAAACTTCAAACATTCCTGTCCAGCATGGACACTTACAGTGGGTTCCATCTTTCAGGCAGCCTGCGGTGTAGTGATATCCTATCGCTCACATAAGTGTTTATCTGATGTTTTTTGATGCTCTCCTCCTCCTCTCGCTTCTCTTCTTCAGTCAGGTCCAGTTTGACAGCTCTACCCATCTCTCCCAAAGCATTTATGTCTAGAGGAGGCTTCTCGTAAACAGGTTTCTTCAGTAATTCCTCGTCCACATTTTTGTGCTGCTCGACTGGAACTTCTCTTCGACTCGCCAGTCCGACATCACTCTGCGTGTTCCTATGAAACACTAAATATCCCACTACAAAAGCCCCGAGAACGTACAGAATGAACTTGGGCCGACTCCGTCTGCCACATATTGCCATAATGTGTCCTTCTTGTCCGCCCTGGTGGTGCCCTCAAACTGTTTGTCATCCAAAATTCAATCTCACGAAGAGTTGGAGTTCGAAAAAAGTTCGCCAAGGTAAGAGGACCTCGTTTTCAAAGTGCCAGATTTCATTTTAAAGTCGATTATAATGAAGGGGAAACTATCCAAGCAAACCGAAAGTTGGTCATTTAATCTGTGGCCGAAAGCCACTGTTGAGGTGTGATCGACATGAACGGCGAGCAGAGCCGGTTGCAGACGGGGGAGGAGTTGAAAGCACATCCGTTAACGCGAACGCTTTGGGTGCGTTCGACATTAAACGCGTGTCGCTTTACTGATCGGCAACTATAGTGGCAGTGTTGCAATCGGGGAGGAGTTGAGAAGAGGCAAAGTCAAGCCGAACACTTTTTGCTTCCGTGTATCTACAGAAACTACATGCATTTACAGGAGACAAAGTTAACAAAATTCATATTCACAGACGCCAAAAGTAAGTTTATGGGAAACGTAATGAAACCATGTGAATGATCCGTCATTTTCTATTGTATTTTGATCAGATGTAGGCTAATAATTAACTGTAATCGTAATAAACAGAAACTTAACAGCGGGTATTTTTGCAAAATTGTTGTAGTTCCGAGTCAGTGCCTTGGTTTAGAGGCCCAAATGCGTAAAAATTATGCATCCAGAATTCTTTTTGAGGAGTTACAAAACATATACACACACATATGCATAATGCATTTTACATCTACCTCCAATAAACTCGTATCACAATCCATAAACAAGACCATTGCATCAGTTATTTGATTAATCTTGTGAAAAACCTAAAAATAGTTGATGAAATTTGAGATCAAATGTTAAAATAGTTTCTGACTCCTCTTTGACAACATGAGACCCCTTCCTTGAACTAATAGTCATTGAAGCATTGCGTTTGAAATTACATATATTCATGTCTAACCACAGTTAGATGGGTTTTGATGCTTTCATTTCAAAAAGAAAAAAACATTGGAAAAACTTTTTTCTTTGGTTAGGATACTGTTTATGTTATAAAACATTTTATCCCTGATGTCAGTGCCCCCAGTAGTAACCCCTGGAAGAGAACCAATTACAGGTTGATACTTATTTTAATTTTTTATAAATATAGTAGTTTCAATGAACAGGTTTTAGATATTCTTTTTTAAAAACATTTACTGGTTTTGAGCCACAGTCGTACCGTGGCACATCCTACAGGTCTGAGCACTGAGCAGGGCTGTAGATTGATGTAGAGAGGGATTTGCATGTTCAGATTAGCAGGCTTGTTTGTCAGATAAGGCCAGTTTGTTCTTTGTTTATGTGTAAAGATAAAGAGGGAACATGAAAGACAGTATGAATTGGGTAAGACTTCATTTGTATTTATTATTTAAAGAATATATATATATATATATATATATATATATATATCTTTTAAATCAGTGTCTGATTTACACACACATGTAAAAAGAGCACATTTTGTCCATTGTTTCCCTGATATAAACAGTAAAGTAATGGTTAAAAAAGAATCTATTTGCATCTGTTTGTCATTGTTTGGTTAGAAATTAGCAAACATTTGACTAAGGAAACATACAACAGTATAGTACTTTTACATTTTTCTGAAGAAAATGGGAGTGGTGTCTGCACATGCAAAACTTTCTGGTAGCAATGTTAGCTATGGTTATGGTAGCTGTATAGCTGTTTGCTAATGTGGTTGTTAGTTTTGTGGGTGGTTCCTAGGTGTCCCAAATCAAAAATGCACCAAACTCAACCTAATATGATTTAGTTTTTAAACATTTGATCTTTTTTCCCCTTACTTTTTCCCCTTAATTTTCTCTACATAAACAGAATGTATCATACAATTACAGATACAATTGATAGATAATATTAGCTGTACCTTTAATATGTTACTACATATGATCTTATGATTAGCGTGTGCTCAAAGGAAGCATGAGAAGTTTTCATTCAGACTGATACCTCGGTCACTGTAGTCATCCACCAGTATGATTTCAGTCAGCAGCAGGTCTGGTGAGGTCTCCAGGACACTGTGCACTGTCCTCAGTAGTGTGGACCAGGCTTCATTGTAGAAGGCTATCACTACTGATGTTGAGGGCAGGCTCAGGTAGTCATATTTCAGGTTTCTACATCTGAATAGACAGATCTTGTTAGATAATGCCTTGCTTGCTACATTGTCAGACCGCAATCTTGTTTACAGTGTCATTATACTAAGATAAAATATCACATAAAATAAATAAAAGAAAATATTAATTGCAATCTAAAAATACATAACTAAAATAAACGGGTCATTTTAAAATAACATGATAACAAAATAACAAACATGATGCAAACAATAAATACAAAAAAAAACAGTTTAGTAATATTTGGCTTGTTATTTTATTTTATTTATTTATTACCTATCAGAGTAAAACCAACTGCAAATATAATTATAACAATGCATACCCTTTAGATTTGGAATGGGCGATCGGTTTATAGTTTGACTTATAGTAGTAATTTTTTATTCAATGTGTCCATAAAGGGGTCTGACTGCAATGGATTTTATTCATTATTTTAAAAATTCAGCATTTTTGTGAGATAACCAATAAAAAGTTTTAGATTTTTTTTTAATGTACAAAATTTATTTGAGTTATGACCAACTGTGACAGCGCCACATTGAACGTTTTTCTCCTGCTTTGTTACTTTGTAGACGGTCCCTATCTGTAATCGCATATTAGACATTGGGGGGGACTGTTTACAAAAACATTTACAACTTTTATGGTTTGCAATAAATCGGGAAGGATTAAAACTAATAAACTACGATGTGTAGGCTTACCTACCTGTCTACATTCTGATGTTATACAAATAAACCCATTAATACCATTAGATCAAACATTTAATTATCTTTTAAGGTTGGATATCTCACAAATATCAAACTTCAAACATTCCTGTCCAGCATGGACACTTACAGTGGGTTCCATCTTTCAGGCAGCCTGCGGTGTAGTGATATCCTATCGCTCACATAAGTGTTTATCTGATGTTTTTTGATGCTCTCCTCCTCCTCTCGCTTCTCTTCTTCAGTCAGGTCCAGTTTGACAGCTCTACCCATCTCTCCCAAAGCATTTATGTCTAGAGGAGGCTTCTCGTAAACAGGTTTCTTCAGTAATTCCTCGTCCACATTTTTGTGCTGCTCGACTGGAACTTCTCTTCGACTCGCCAGTCCGACATCACTCTGCGTGTTCCTATGAAACACTAAATATCCCACTACAAAAGCCCCGAGAACGTACAGAATGAACTTGGGCCGACTCCGTCTGCCACATATTGCCATAATGTGTCCTTCTTGTCCGCCCTGGTGGTGCCCTCAAACTGTTTGTCATCCAAAATTCAATCTCACGAAGAGTTGGAGTTCGAAAAAAGTTCGCCAAGGTAAGAGGACCTCGTTTTCAAAGTGCCAGATTTCATTTTAAAGTCGATTATAATGAAGGGGAAACTATCCAAGCAAACCGAAAGTTGGTCATTTAATCTGTGGCCGAAAGCCACTGTTGAGGTGTGATCGACATGAACGGCGAGCAGAGCCGGTTGCAGACGGGGGAGGAGTTGAAAGCACATCCGTTAACGCGAACGCTTTGGGTGCGTTCGACATTAAACGCGTGTCGCTTTACTGATCGGCAACTATAGTGGCAGTGTTGCAATCGGGGAGGAGTTGAGAAGAGGCAAAGTCAAGCCGAACACTTTTTGCTTCCGTGTATCTACAGAAACTACATGCATTTACAGGAGACAAAGTTAACAAAATTCATATTCACAGACGCCAAAAGTAAGTTTATGGGAAACGTAATGAAACCATGTGAATGATCCGTCATTTTCTATTGTATTTTGATCAGATGTAGGCTAATAATTAACTGTAATCGTAATAAACAGAAACTTAACAGCGGGTATTTTTGCAAAATTGTTGTAGTTCCGAGTCAGTGCCTTGGTTTAGAGGCCCAAATGCGTAAAAATTATGCATCCAGAATTCTTTTTGAGGAGTTACAAAACATATACACACACATATGCATAATGCATTTTACATCTACCTCCAATAAACTCGTATCACAATCCATAAACAAGACCATTGCATCAGTTATTTGATTAATCTTGTGAAAAACCTAAAAATAGTTGATGAAATTTGAGATCAAATGTTAAAATAGTTTCTGACTCCTCTTTGACAACATGAGACCCCTTCCTTGAACTAATAGTCATTGAAGCATTGCGTTTGAAATTACATATATTCATGTCTAACCACAGTTAGATGGGTTTTGATGCTTTCATTTCAAAAAGAAAAAAACATTGGAAAAACTTTTTTCTTTGGTTAGGATACTGTTTATGTTATAAAACATTTTATCCCTGATGTCAGTGCCCCCAGTAGTAACCCCTGGAAGAGAACCAATTACAGGTTGATACTTATTTTAATTTTTTATAAATATAGTAGTTTCAATGAACAGGTTTTAGATATTCTTTTTTAAAAACATTTACTGGTTTTGAGCCACAGTCGTACCGTGGCACATCCTACAGGTCTGAGCACTGAGCAGGGCTGTAGATTGATGTAGAGAGGGATTTGCATGTTCAGATTAGCAGGCTTGTTTGTCAGATAAGGCCAGCAGAACTGGAAGAGGCATAAAGAAAGAAATCCAGGTCAAATCACAGAGAGTCTTAGGGGTCACACACTGTGACAGAGCGCTAATCCAAATCCATTTAGTGCATGTCCGCTTTATAAACACCGTTATGCCAAGATATACAAGCCTGTGAAAGTTCACATACATTGTTACTTAATATGTGAAATAATGTATGATTTAAATAAGAATGCCTCATTCACATTTCACAACCAGCCTAACCTTTTACCAACACACTTCTTAACTATTTGAAGTTTGAATATGACGTTTCTATTTGAAGTGTATATTTGTTAATTCCTGTAGACCTCACTTTTCTCACAATTTCTGCCATATTACACAGTTTTGTTTCTTTTCAATTAATTTGAACACATTTGCATGAAATTATTGAAAGTTGTATTGAAATAACATTAAATCCATATAATCACTTGCATGTTGCTAGTGTCAGAACCAGTGTTCATTGTACTGGACATTAAATAAGTTATAAACTTTTTTTTTTGTTATCGTTTTTAATGAAATGAAGCATGTTACAATTATAAACTTTCTAAAGTGACCTGATGGATATTATCTAAATAATACTAAATTATTATCACAAAAAAAGAAAAACAAATAATATTTTGAAAGAGCTTATACAGGATCTTTGGACACATTCTGCTGAACCAGAGAAACTGGTTTCAAGTAAGATTGTAAGTTTACTTTTCAGCATTCTTGGTGGTTATTTAAAATCAAACGTATTCATGTGAAAATAAGTGAATTATGCTGAAGTTTCCATTTTAAAAAGCTGTTTAAGAAAACTGTTTTGATTGGGCTGCTCCCTTTGATGTCATAAAATTATAAATAAATATTAAAAGGTTTAAAAAGATATTTGAATTAAGAAACTAACAATTTTATTAAAAATCCAGGGTCCTGTACAGCTTTATTTTAAACAATATAAAACTAAATGCATTTTTGTTATTTATTATAAAAATGTATGAATTAAAACATGATACTATACTTATATTTAGTCAGTCACTACAGTTGCTAGAAATATTAAAAGGAAATAATCAGTAGCTTCTTTAACTTTCTTAAGAGACATACCCGAATCTACATCCACAAAAATATTGTAATATTTTCCTCATCCATTCCCTTCTTATAAACAATATTTTATAATAAATATGTAAGATGATCCATGTAGAAAGCAAAATGTATGTTTATCCAAATTAATGTGTTTAATTATTGATTAGGCCATCAGAGAGGTGAGATGGTAATTTGAGTGCCACAGTTTTTTGATTGAACACTCTTATTGTAAAAGATCCAAAGAGTGTTGTAATAATCTATGGTACACTGAACACAATGTTGCACAGTCATTTACCACATAAAGTATGAACACACAACTAAATAAAACAGCTTTTCTAACATGTCCAATCAGACATAAGTTAAATATAGGCTGCTATATACTTCATAACACCCTATATAAGTTCTATTGTATTTTTGAGATTATTGATGAGTTTTGCAAATATCATGAGGGTTGTGTAACAGACTGTCCCTTTAATAGCAAACTGCCACCTACTTAAATGAACAGAGCAGCTTTTAGCAGAGGAAATCAAGTTGTTTGGACTACCACTGAATGACCTCAAAGGAAACGTGATGAGTCCTTCATGTATAATTGCCATCTTACTCATTGCTGCGATATTCCCAGAGGAACAAGAAACTAACATAATTGGCATCAGTTTAAGGGGACCTATCACACACCTATTGCCCACAATCCAATCATAAGTCATAGGGGAAAGTACAGCTTTATTTATGCATGCTGTAGACATAAGCAGCATGTCAATGTTCAGTGACCCCCAGCTTTATTTATGTAGTTGTGTGGCACACCTGGGAAGTGTGCTATTAAACATTTGAAGCTGACTTGGCAGACCCTCATGTGGTTCCTCGTGATCTGGTTTATATAAGAGGCTCAGGTCACAAATGTAAAACTGTGCAGGGAACACTTTATTTTAAGGGGATGTAAAATGGGGAACTTTACCTGATTAAATCTCGAATGAATGCACTTCAATGTTACAAAAACATGGAAATAAAACAATAGAATAAAAAAAAAAAAACAGTTTTGATTCTAATCCCAGATCTTATTTTCCCACCACTAGATGGCACAGCAACAGAGAGTCAAGGACAGGTCACACTGTCAAAATAAACAAGCCACCACAATAAATGTAACATTTAGAACTTTAATTTAATTTATTGAGACTAAAATACTTTGTATATTTTTCCATGTTCCAAAAATACTTCATTACAGTCCATCAGCAAAACACATGATCACCACAAACTGTGCTTTATCAGTAGTAATTCAAATTTCATGTTCACTTTCCCACAGTCCCTAAAAAATTAAATTCACTGACAATTACAAAGGATGAGACCTAAAAAATTAATCAAAAATTATGATGCCATTTTAAATGCATTTTAGTGCAAAAATAAAGGTATTATCCATATACAGTTTACGATATAGCATTTTCAAGATATTTACCAAAACTTACTGATACATTATTCAGTTATGTGTGAAAGCTGGAAGACCCGTGATAAAAGCACTTAGTCAATTTTCTGAATTTTACTTTGGCCAATATCTTAATAAAGTACTGTAATACTCTGATTTGTGAAGGAAAATGCACCTTTTTAAAAAGTCTGTCTGAAGAGGCACTTTCTGGTGAGTCAATAAATTTCCAGCAATTCATTTTTCTAGGAAAACAATTCACTGGTAAAGTGGATAATTCCCAAATGTGTAGTAGAGAAAAACTTGGTTTAGGACAACCTTTTCAGGATTTGAAAGATTTGGTCCACAATTGCGTTACATTTTATACCAACTCTGAATTACAGTTTCTGTAATCTACTTCAAATTCAAGTGTACATACATTATTAACAAACTACTTGGACACTGCTGTTAGTGTGAGTGAGACTTATGGTACGTTTACACGACAACAGTGTTGTCAAAAACGGAAAAGTTTTTCCCTTGCGTTTTTACACAGTTTCACGTATACACGACAACGTTTTCAAAATGATTCGCGTTTACACATATCCGCGAAGACGGCCAAAAATGCTGTATTACGTATGCCAGGCCAGTAGTTGGTGCTATCACCTTGTTAGTAAACACTAATAGTACCTAGGGAAGTGAAGATAATATGATGTATATGATGCGTCTCCGCTGTTGGTTGTAATATTGGTGAAGTAAATCCACACTTTGCTGAAGAAGCGTTAGCAAACTCTTGAGCAGCAACAACAGTACCATACACTCCACCATTGTTGTTTATGTTTGTTCGCGCTTGCCTTTAAAATCGACACGTACTGCGCATGTCTACATACCTAACACGTACTATGCACGCGCATGACGTCACCGTTTTCAAAGATTCCCGTTCTGGGTGTTTACATGGAAACGACAACGGTGCCGTTTTCAAAAACTTCCACTTTGAAACCGGTTTTCAAAAATATGCATTTTCAGTCCCCAAAATGCCGTTGTCGTGTAAACGAACAGTCAAAACGCATAAAAATGTTCCCGTTTTTGGCTGAAAACGTTGTCGTGTAAACGGCCCCTTAAAATGCTGGTACAGGTCCACAACACAAGTGTGCCAAAATAGTCCATGCAGCTTACACAAAATAAGGTGAAAAGACCCTAAATTCCCTAGTAATACAAAAACAGCCTCAAAATGACACAAAAATATAACAAGAGAACAACAGATGACAATCAAGACAAACCCACTCACGACATCCTCAAATCAGTCACTTCTGATACAATTAAATAAAATTGCTGTGCAGTAGATCTAAATATTAGTTACTGCTGAGTCTAAAAATGATTCACTAGAAGCGTATAGTGCATCAATGTAAACAAAAATGCTGTTCCAACACGCTGGATGGTTGAATTTGCTACAATGTGTTATTAATAGTTCTAATATGCACTTTGGACTTAGAATAGCACACTGAATGTCTCTAACAAGGAAACGCAAGAATTGGCACTACAAGTATGTCCACTTTGGTTTGCAAAGGCACTATATGGAGGGATGGGTCCCATTTTTATGCCTGTTCTCCGCTCCTTTTTTAATGCCAAGTCAGAAGTGACATTCTTTTTGATAATTGCACTTACATCCAAGTTCACGTGGGTTTTAAAGTCACTCAAAGCTCCAGCGCTGGTGTTTGTCTCCAGGAGAGCAACTTCTCATCTGGATATCTGCACGGCCGTCTTCTGTGCGGTAGGAGGTGATACACATGTTTGAATGAGGGTGATATATGCTGCCATCCTGAAAAGACACAAATGCTAGATAAGGAATTTTTGGCATGAAGAT